AAGCGCACAATTTGACGACAGCGCACATAGTTCCAGCAGCGATGCGCCACGCTGTTGTAGTCTTTGCTGCAGCAGCCCAATGCCATGAGATCGCTCCCTTCGAGGAGGGTGTCTTGCAACGCCATGTCCAAAACATCCCGTTGAGGGATAGATTTAGTTACCCAGCCCGACATTTTCCAGGCAAAGGTGGCTGAAGTGGAGCCAAAGCTACAAATAGAGCGATTTCCATTTGCCAAAAATTAAGCGGGGAGTTTTGTGATGTGACACATATGAATTATATGTATACACCAAACATATATATATGCTTTTCATTTCTTTATTGATTTATTTCTTTCTTTCTTTTATTTCTGTTTTTATTTATTTGTTTTTATTTTTGGTATATATGAATGTATTCAATCTATATACATTTTAACACTGTATTATATACATATATATATTTTTCCATGAAACAAGTGTTGCTCGTTTGACCCGAAGAAAGAGAAAGCGCATTTTTCCTCAGGGGTGCTAACGGATCACAGCCAACTGCCAGTGACCATATATATGAGAACGAATTATGGCAGCAAACTAATTGCGGATAGAGCGTCATAACGCTCCAACGGCACGGATCGCACGCATGCGACCTATCTCACTTCTTGCTGCGACCCTTGGGCTTCGCGCTTTGGCAGCGCGCGAAGTCCACCAGAGCTTTGTGCGCTGCGTGGCCGTCCTTCATGCGACTCTGCAGATCTTTTTCTTTCTTCCAGTCCACATCGACTGCGTCGCCAGCCTTGCCGGTGGCAGCGGCGTTGAGCAGCTTGGTAGCTCCGGCAATGGTTTCCGTCAGCAATTCCACCGCATTCACTGCTTGCTCCAGTGTAGCTGGTGGTAATGTGTCATGATCGAGGCCGCCCAGCTTCGTCTCCAATTTCTCCAGGCACGTCTTCAGAGAGGGCAGCAGCTTGGCAGCTGCTGCTGTGGCAACCTTGCGTTCTGTTTCGCGCTGTTTTGCCAGCGTCTTAAGACGCTTCCTCTCTTGCTTCTCTTCTTCCGTGAGCGGTCCCTTGCGCTTGCCCTTCGAAGCTGCAGCAGGCGCCTCCATAGCCTCCTCGAGCTCCAAGGCAGGCACGCCCGGCGCAGATGCTGCCGCCAGCCGGCGTTGCTGTGCATCAGACTCCATCTGCGTGATGCGCTGCTCAGCCTGCGCGTGCAGCGTCTCATCTGACTCAGTGTGGATGGACACCTTGTAAGTCTCTCCCAAAGCACTGTGTTCTTCCATGGGACAGGTTGCCTTGATGCGCTCAGTATCATAGCCTTTCAATTCCCAGTACGTCAAAGGTTGCCATTCACCTGCATATCCGCCACGCTTCTCGCGGCGCACCTCCTGCACCATGCATTTCTTCAGCATCGCGCGCGCGCGCGCGAACAACAGCCTGCCATCCTCCGCGTTCTTCTTCTCCAACGCACATTCTGAGAAGAATGCAACCATTGACTCTTCGCTCAGAAGCTCCGTCAGCTGCACGCCTTTTCGCTGGAATTGCGTCGCGACAGCATTGCAAGGACGGCAAATGTGCCTCAGCTCGACGCGAAAACTCGGTCGCGAAATCATCTCATCGACCTTGCCTTCTGTCTTGCACTTTGCACATGTGGCAGTGTCATGCGCAGGATTATCCACAGCGGCGTCAGCTGGCGTTGCCGCCGCCGCGTCCGCTGGAGGTTCCAGAGCGGATGCTGCTTTGGCCTCCTCCACGTGCCTGTCCATGTCAGCTTCGATCTCTCTCGCAAGAGTATCTTCAGCAGGAGTAGCCATATCTTCAGCAGGAGTCATATATATGATTCAAAACAAGGAGGGCAAAAGTGACAGCAAAGAGCCGTTTGACTGCGCACCCACAACTCTGTCTTGAGAGTGCAACAGTTGCGGAGAATCTTCTTCATTTTTCTATAGTTTTCTGTGTTTTGTGGAAAAATACATTCGTATATTTGCTTCCGGGGCTGTCAAAGTACAATATACAAACGCGTTTCCTTACCTCTAAAGGAATATACATACGCGTTTTTGGGTTTTCTTTTGCTTGGAAAGCAACATACATACGCGTTTTTTTTTGCTGTTATCCCGTGTGAAAAAAATACAAAAAATACAAAAAAATACATCCCCGACATAGCATATCAATCAACAAAAATACGAGGACACATGTGAAAATACATACGCGTTTTTTGTTTCTTCTTAGAAAACACATACGTATATTGGATATTTCCTTGATTTTTCTAAAATATACATAGGCGTTTTCCCCTTTTTATGTTGGTACTTTGTTCCCTTCAGCTAGGAAGCGGTCTTTTTGGCTGGACTGTGCAGGTATTGTACGGCATTTGGTTCCAGCGAGCCGGTGGGTGAGACAAAAGCTACCTGAGAGCCGCGTGGCCGGCACGGATCGCTGTCTCGAAAAGGCGATTCACAAATTCTATGGTGCGTTCTGCATCTGGCTGCGTCACCTGCGTAGGCGCAGGCATCCCACCAGGCGCGGCACCGATAGTGGACTGCTCAGGGGCCTGCGGCTTTGCAGTTGCAGGCTTGTTTTTTGCAACTGTCGGCGCAGACGCCTCTGTTGCTGGCGCTAACGCCTCCTTTTTCTTTGATGGCGCTTCGGATTTTGCTGGCGCTAACGCCTCTTGTTTCTTTGATGGCGCGTGCGCCTCGTTTGCAGACGCGGATGGCTTGCCTGCAGCTTCTTGCTCTTCAGAACTGCTACTGTAATAGTACGACGAGCTGCTCTCTTTTGCTCCCTTCGTGGCCTCCGGCGCATCTTCTGCGCGAACACTTTTTTTTTCGTTTTGCGGTTCCGATCGAGCCTGCTTGTTTTCCATCTGTTCCTCGTCAGCGCGCAAGCGCGCTCCATGCTTCTTGCGCGCTTCTCCGTCGCGCCGCTCCGCGTCTTCCCCCGCGCGCGCACGCGCTTCACGCTCTTGACGCTTCTCCTTCTCAGCCGCTCGCAAGCGTGCTTCCTTCTCTTCGCGTTTATGGCGCTCACGCCTCCTTTCTTCTTCTTCAGCCTCTGCTTCGGCATCCCTGCGGCGTGCTTCCTTCTCTTCCCGTCTGCGGCTCTGACGCCTCCTTTCTTCTTCTTCTTCAGCCTCAGCTTCAGCGTCCCTGCGGCGCCTGCGCCTGCTATCTCGCGTTGCTGATCTGCGTCTCCGGCCAGAGCTCCGGGCGCGAGCAGATCTCGACCGCCCGTACCTTGCGTGGTTCTCTTCCCATGGCCGCCCATACATGCCGCGGGTTGGTCCGCGCAAGATCTGCTCTTCCCAGCCCACGTCCGAACGCGGCTCGCGCACCCCCGGCGAGCGCAAGCGCACGCGCGATGGGGCCCCCTTCTCTGCCGGCGGACAGGGCGGTGGGGCCTCCTTCTCCGCGGGCGGACGTCCCATTGGACTCTTTGGCCGCGTCAACTTGAATTGCTCTTGCAAAGCCATTTTCTCTGCCTGAACTTTGTCATATCCTTCATTTCGAAACTTCCAAGTCAAACAGTATAATCCGCTCCGGTGCTGCGCGAGACTGTGCGCTCCCTCAGAGACAGGCCGCCAGCAGATGTCACAGTCCACACGCGTCTTGTGGCTGTTGTGCCGCCATCCACCACGGCGATTCCTTCCGTTGCCATCGCCTGGTTTCTCCTCTGCCTCCGTCCCTGTCTGCTTTGGCGCCTCCGGCGGATCCGCTCGGGGCCCCTCGGAAGCCACCTCCTCCACTGCGCCCTCTGGGTGCGGCGCTGCTTCGCCACTGTCCCCTGCCTTCGGTGACTCTGGACCACGCGGTCGATGGTCCGACTCGTCTGAGGACGCCATGGCCTGCAGGCAAAGTAAATTGAGAACGGGGGGGAACAATATCATGCAAAAGCATGTGTTTCTATAAGATTAGACGAAAGGGTTAAATATCCTATAGATAGATATATATAATATATATATATATATATCAAACTCGATGCAGTATCAGCCGTTGGTCTTTGTGCGTAGGCCGCCGAAAGGCATGCAGAAGTTTCCCAGCTGCGCGAACGCAAGCTCGACCCAGTACCCGGCTGCGCGCACGCAAGCTTCTTAGAAGATCTGGTTGTTGCTAATGTGTTAGCTTTTTTGTGAGTGGCTTAGTAAAGGTATGTTAAATGCATGTTAGTATCATGCTAGCATGCAGCTAACATAGTATAGTTTTTCTATTTTCCCTACTATGTTAGCAAAGCTCTAGTTAAAAGTTAGGTAACTATGTTAAAAAACATAATTAAGTTAACTCAAGTTAATTTCCCTAACTCTTTTTCAGCTAACTTTCCTAACTAAGTTAACCTTTTAGCCCCAGAGTTAGAAAAGTTAGCTAGTATGATATTTTTTGTGTTTTTCCCTTAGTTTTTAGTTTAACATATAACTTGGCTATGTACAACATACATACAGCAAAGGACTATGAAAAACTGTCTGGTACACAAGTTGATGGGTTTTGTCTTTTTTACAAACCAAAAAAGAACAGCAGAAGTTGCGGCACACAGAACAAGGAAGGAAAGAAACAATATATTTTTCCTTGCTGAACTCGGTTTTTCTTTATTTTTTAATCTATAGAAAATGTTTTTTTGTTTTCCAAAAATGTGATGTTTGTTTGCAAGTTCTGCGCCAAAGGTGTTTCACTTATGAACAGACTGCTGCATGACCCTTGTTTGCAAAAAGTATGTAGCCATTGCAGGCTGGCCTTGCACAAGAAAGCCATCACAGGCTCAAAGAAATAGCCTTTCCAGGCTCAACAGTTTAGCTTTCCCAGGCTATAGACCCATGGTGCTTGAGCAAGCAATTTGGCAATCTGCCACACCAGTGTTCTACAGCTTGGCTTAGTGTAGAATGTTGGAACCAAACGCATGGCGAGAGAAACTATGGATAGCCAGGTGCACAGCAACAACAGCAGCAGCAACAACAACAACACCAACACATGACACAAGCAGGTTTGTTGACAATTCCACAAGCAAAGAAGTGCTACCTCTGGCTTGTCAACCATAGAAGCCATGGCATGCACCAACTGGAAACAGGAAGTGGAAAGGGTGATGGAGGTGGATTCCCCAATCACCACAAAAGCTGAAGGAGTTCTCAAAGTCTTGGAGGAGCACAAGATGTTGTACAAGTTGAAGTTGGTGCCATCCCAGCTCCTTGTCCATCCCCAGAACAGATCTGGTGGTTTGCTGAATGTGGCAGACATGCATGCAAAAGGAGCTGCAATGCATTCCATTGGCTTTTCCTTCAAGAAGCTATCAGAATCCATTGCCTTTGAGATTCCTATCTCTAAAAAAGATTTGGTGTTCAAGGCAAACCAGTCCTTGAGTGATTTGAACAGCAATATGGTGGCCAGGCCTTCTGGTACCGAAAGGTATGCTTCAATTTCAACAAGCCATACCACTGCATTCCTGAAGTCAGTGCAGCAAGGTTGCAGAACTCCTGAAGAAGAGCTTTCTCACAATGGCTTCTTGAATTTTGAGTCCATGTGCGGCAAGGGTGGTGATTTGAGGAAAATGGTGGAAGAAGGCTGGACATGGTCAATTATTTCTCCAGAAGTGGAGGAGAAATTGTCAGGCTTGCCTGGCTTTCTGCAACAAGCACTCAATAGCCACTCAGCTTGAATGGTGTTTTGCATTGGCCACCATGTCACCTGATTTTGTTCTTTTGCTGGCACTAAGGTGAGCACAGTGTCAAATCTGGTGCTAATGAATTGGAAGTAGCAGCCACAATAGCTGCTGCCTTTGAGCAACAAGAAAGTTCAAGCAAGGATTTGAAGAAAGCCCAGGCCACCGCTTTGGCAAGCAGGCCATCTTGCTCTGATTACATCAACAGTGTAACACAGTTTGTGAAACAGTTCTCAGGAGGAGAAAAGTTTCCATTGCTGAAGCTCTTGCAAAGCATCAGCCCCTCAGTTGCATTTTGGCTTCTATAGCTTAGCCTTTACAGGCTTTGTGGCAACCCAAACACAAAGCCATAACAGGCTGGCTGAGACAAAATGGGTTGGTATGTTTTTCTTTTCACCCTGCAGGCAAGCAATTTGCTGGCACTGCTCTTCTTGGGCAAGAATTCATGGAGCTTCTGGCTTTCACTGATTTCAAGAACAAGCAGAGCACCATGCCTTGGATTCGAATGTCTTTGGCTACTTGCCAAATGTGCTCACCAAAGGCTTACATCAAGGATGGTGTCAGCAGATTCATCACACCTTCTGACTTTACCAAGTTGAAACAGAAAGCCATGCTGGACAAGGTCAAGCAGGCTGAGGAGTTGCTGGGGAAAGGCTATGAGCTTTTGCAAGCATCTCCACTGACATTGGACCAGCAGGCACACCCCATGGCCAGGTACCTCACCAGACTTGGCTTGTTTCTCTTGAACAAAGAAAGCAAAGGGCAGGAAGGGAAAGAATATACAAGCTTGGCCAACATCACTGATGCTTTCACTGCTGAATGCTTTGAAATGAAGCAACATGGACATTTGAATGCAAGGCAAGCAGAGCTTGCTGAGGAAAGTGATGACAAGGAAATGCCAGAAGCCCTGGAAAGTTGCCAAGATCCTATCCAAATTGCTTGCAAGATGTTCAAATTGAAGGTGGGGAGCCATTACACCCACAATGGCCAAGTCATGAAGCTCACCAAGGTTGAAAAGGATTCAGCCACCTTGGTCTACAACCCCTTCTTTGGCTCTGCAGTGGACCACACCCTGACCCATGATGATTTGAAAGGCATCAAGCCTTTCACAAGGCCAGTACCTCATCTGCACTCTGCTGCAGATATTGCTGCTCTCTACCCCAGTAATGCAATGGTCAAGGAGATTGCCAGGGCCAAGGCCCAGCATTTGCTCTATGAAAAATACCTGCAGTGCCTTGGCTGCCATTCAGTGTCTTGTTGCCCAACCTTTTTTTTTGGGTGGTGCATTGGTTGCACACCCAGCACACTACTGCAGGACTGGAGAATTTGATGTGGTTGTGTCCAGCATGGGGCATTTGTTTGCCAATGCAGATTTCAAGAAGGGTGAGCTGACTTTGCTGCCCTTTGGGAACGTGGCTGTGGTGGCCAAGGAGAAAGTGGCCAAGACTTCAGTGGTCCTGTTTTTGGCTGGGTGGCGACAAGAAGATCAGCTTGTGGTGAGCCATACCAAGTGCAATTTTGAGAAGGCCACTGGCTGCTGGTCACCTTTCTTCTGGTGCAAGGAGAGCAAGGATGACAAAGAGGAAAAGCCCAACATGACAAAGGCAACTGTGAAGTATGATGAGCTGACCATGCCTTGCATCAAGAACAAAGAAAAGCTGACCAAAGGGACAGCTTTGTTTTTGGAGCCCACAGAGGAATCCAAGAAAGCAAGGAAGAAATGACACTTCAGCATGAAGCAGTGGGAAAAAAGATCAAGCCATCACAGGCTTTTCACTTTGGCCTCAACAAACCCTTGGAAAGCTGAAGCTGCAGGGTGTCCTACTGAATTCAAAAGACTTGCACACATGCTTTGCTGCCATTTGAGCTCTAAGTAGCTGTGCACACACTGTTTCCACCAGAATGACAACCATTCTGAAAAGGGTTTCTTTGCAACGGGCTGGCATGGACCCAAGCCTGGTGCCTACCAACTTGTTGGTGAAAGATTCTGGTGGGCAGGAATATTTGAAGGTGCAGCCATCACACCCAATGATTGTCAAGCTGGTATGCAAAGATGAGGAAGAAATTTTCCAGAAGACCAAGAATGCCAGCCTGTCTGGTTCTGAACAGCTGAAAAAGCTGAAGGCACAACTGCAGTCTGTCATCCATAAGGAACTGGACAGCTATGAAGCAAATCAGGACCAGCCTTTGTTTGGAGATGGCCAACAACCTGCCAACAAATCAAAGGGCAAATTCATCATGGCAAAGGCATCCCAATGCTTTGAGACTGTAGTCCTGGATGTGGAGGGCACTAATGTGGTCTGCCTGGTTCCACCCAATGACAAGTTCCAGGAAATCATGATTCAGTTAAATGAAGACATGCTGGAAGCTGTTTTCAACTTTTTGGCCAAGGACTGCAAAAGCACCTTGGAGAACATGGCCAAGAGAGGTTATAAGAGGAAGCAGGTGGGTGGTGAAGACTAGCTGGCTGGTTTGAATTTCTAAACCAAAGATTGCAATGGCAGGTGCTGCTGGAAAAAAAACTTTTGTACTTGTAGCCCTACCAGGCTCCTGTGTCCAATAGCCTTTGGAGGCTCAAAGTTTGTCCCATGTTGTGAAGCTATTCTAGGCTATCAAAAAGTAGCTAGGCCATTACAGGCAAACATAGGAAACTAGCCTACACTAGCTGAAAAAAGCCATTACAGGCTATAGAAATCAACAGCCATTCCAGGCTATGAAAACAATTTCTGCCACTGCAGGCTATAGAATGTAGAGACTAGCCAACCTAGGCTGCACCAAGCTTTCACAGGCTCATGTCTTTGTGTTTGTGGGTTTGGCCAGTGTTTTTTTAAAGGTTTCTTGCACAACAGCATGGTGGGCTCCAGCATGTCACCCAGCTTGTAGATAAGCAACATGCTGCCATGTAGAAGCAAGTTCATAAAGTAGGAAACAAACCTAAATCTTTCATATTCAACAGTGATGTAGCAACAAGTTTTAATAGGTCATGCCAAAATGAAAATGCATTTTCATTTTAAAGTGTTTCAATTCCAGCCCTGGTAGCCTTAGCCATGCCCAAGAAAGATAGGAAAAAGTCAAGGAAGGAGGCAAAGTCAGAGAGTGAGACGCGCTCATCTAGTGTGGACTTTGAGGAGTGGGCTCAGGACTTGACTGTCCAATGGGAGGAGCATTTGAAGAAGGAGAAGGACAGGTACAAGAAAGTGTTTTTTGTTGTTTGTTTTTGACTTTTGAAGTATCAGGTGTATATATATATATATATATATGTATAGATATAGATATTACTCTAAATGATACTGTGTCAAATGCTGATATGTATTTAACTAATACCCCTATCCATTGTCATATCATGATGACTTTGTTTGAAAGAAAGGAAATTTGAAAACACCACTGCATGCCAGGAAAAAGGTTTGCCCATACCTGCTGAAGTTCCAGCTGATGCCACTGGAGCCCTGTTTGAAGTAGCTGCTGCTATGGCTATGGCAGAACCCGTTGGAGTAGTGCCTGCAGACCCAGCTGAGCCCCCTGCAATCAAAGCTGCAACCCCAAAGGCAAAGACATCTGTGAAGAGGAAAGAAGAAAATGAAGAGTTTGTTTGGGTGGTGGAGGACTGAATATCTATCCCCTTTTGTTGTTGAAAATCATGTTCAATGTGTTCTTGAAATTAAATGATAACTTCAACAAGTTTGTTGCATAGGAGCCCCCACCAAAGAAGAAGGCAAAGCTTCCTATGGGCCCTTGGAGCAAGCAAAAAACAGTGGAAGTCAAGGTGGAGACAAAGGAGGAGGATGATCCCGATCTGAATGAGAAGCTAGCTCAGGCTCTCAGGAACCATGTGCCTTTGCATAAGTTCTATCATAATTTTCCTTTGCATTTTGGGGTATGGTTTCTTTAAAGTAAGGGTTTTGTTTTTTGCTGGGTTTGCAAGACTGTTTCCAGTTGAAACCAACACAGCCTCTTCAACATATTTGGCATGGTAACCTTGTTAAACTTTTAAGCCAATACAGGCTGCTCAATATATTCTAGTTGTATGATATGCCAGGCAGCAGCAGCTGCAGCACCTACAAGTTCCAGCCACACTGGCGATTCATCTGGCAGGCATGATGTCTTTGGGATGTCCTATGCAGCATGTGTGCCTTGGAATGAAGTATGTCTGTTTTTGTGTTACCCTAATCTTGTTAAAAAGTTGGATCCCCTGTGGGTGTATATACATTTTAGTTGACTCTGGTGTGACATATTCATTCTCAGGCTGGTGCTGGTGATCATGGAGATATTCCAGAGAGAAAGCCTGCAGTTCCAGAACCTGCAAACCCTCCCAGGCATGCAGCTGCATCCAAAACAACCCCTACATGGAATGATGAGTGGCAAAGCTGGTATGAGCAAACCCAGTCCCAAGCAGCCCATCAGTTTCAAAGGCAGCTGGAACACCAGGACAAGTACTACTGGTGGGATGCACAAGGGAAGGTACATGTCTGGAGGAAAGTTACCTGGTAATTTCATCCATATTTTCACATGGGTTCTTGTGTAACATACCACCTAAAATATCTATGTAGTTATATTTACTTTTGATTTGCTGTGAACTGAGGCTCAGAAAGGAAGAACCGGAAATATGAACAAGCTGGTGGTAATCTTGGCTTTGTATTTGACTGGCAACTGGTCCTTTCTCAACCAGGAGTTAGATCAGTATTCATCCCTTCATGCCCTACAAGTTCCATTGCAGACCTTGATGAGTGTTATTTTGGCCAAAGGCCCTGCAAGAGCCCTGGAGGAATTCAAAAGAAATCCCGACCAGTTCCACTAGAATACAAGAGTGTGTGGAAAAAAGAATAGTTTCAGCCAATACAGGCTTTATTAGAAACATTAGCCTTTGAAGGCTAGGTGATATGAATCAAAATAAAATTCTGTAAGCAAACAGCCTTTGAAGGCTCAATATCCACAGCCTTTGAAGGCTCATCATCCAAAGCCTTTTAAGGCTACCAAGTAAAGCTTTTGAACACTAATTATACTATGGACTTGAAAATTAATTTAAAAAGAAGGCCTAAACCTCAATCTAGCCAAAAAAAGGATACGATTCCACTTCCCAAATTTGAATTTAGCCAATAAATTCAAAATTCAAATTCCCAAATTTGAATTTAGCCACTAAATTCAAAATTCAAATTCCCAAATTTGAATTTAGCCACTAAATTCAAAATTCAATTTCCCAAATTTGAATTTAGCCAATAAATTCAAAATTCAAATTCCCAAATTTGAATTTAGCCAATAAATTCAAAATTCAAATCCCCAAATTTGCATTTAGCTATTAAATTCAAAATTCAAATCCCAAAAATTGAATTTAGCAACTAAAGTCAAAAAAATCAACCCAAAGCAAATCTCAAAGCAAAATGATCAAAATTATTTTTTTTGAAATATTTTTCTTGGACTTATTTTACATAGGTAGGAAAAACAAAAATACTATTTGTGTGAAGAAAATGTTTATCTCATTTACTTCTAATTCATTTTGGCTCATTTTATTCATACAAACTTGGAATTTCATTTTTTGTTGAAATGTATTTCAATGGGTAGCCATTTCAGTTCAAATATCAACCAAAAAGAAAATATGGCCAATTAAGCAAAACATGTATATCTGTATATAGATATATACCTGCATACAAAAGTTGAATGTATTTTTATTTGAAGAGTGAGAAATATATGTGTTTTCAACCAGCAATTTGGGCTCAATCATGAGCGACACTATTGTGGAGATTGAGGACACTTGGGGATGGAGAATCCTGATATGGAAATCTGGTTGGAGAACCTGGCTACTTGGTTTATATTGATCAGTCTTTTCCTGGTAAACAATTTTGTTCAAAATGCATGGTATGTCATTGTCAAGATTGCATCTAAGGTTGCAGGCTACTTTGCTTAACCAGGATGTTAAGATGACTGACTGGATCTTTGAAGATGGGAAGGAGGTCAGGTGGGTAACAATGATGAATGGTGAGGAGCACTTGTACCTTGACTGTCATGATTGGATATGTGTTTTCAAAAAATGTTTCCATCAGGATTTGTTTTCATACTCCTATTTGTTTTTCCTTTTCAATGGTCACTTCAATGATCTACTTCAGGTGGCCCAGGGATGACCTGGAAGAAATGCAGAGAAACCGCAGTGCTATTCCACTTGTGTACTACACAGCCTTTGGATAGGAATGAGCCTAAAAGGCAACTACCCACTATAGTGGAATGAGAAGCGATGAGTTTGTGAGTACAAAAAGTGCTAGAATAACCTTGACAGGTTTGTTTTGCTCGTGTAGTAGCCAATACAGGCTGTGGAACTCAACCTAGGCAAAGTAGGCTTTGGAACAATAAAAGCCAAAAAAGGCTTTGACAATTAACCTGATGCAAATGAATGTACAAATATATATATATATACACACACATCCATGTATCACAACATAAAAACCTATATAATACTCATTCTACTATTATTCTTTGCTGGTTAAATATTCAGTATTAGCCATTATAGGCAAGCTGCCAAAAAGATCAATTCATCTGAGGCTCCTATGCTTTAGCCACCACAGGCTCTGGTTCCTTAGCCATTGAAAGCTACAAGACACAGTGCATTAGCTTTTTCAGGCTATTGTGTACTAGCCTTCCTAGGCTGCTACTGACAAAGCAAGCCCTTAAGTTTCTCATATGGCATGTGTCCAACATATACCTTCCCTAAGGCAACCACATGTTTTAACTTCTGCTT